TGAGACAGAGATGGGTAACTGACACGCACTCATGTTGCTAGCCGTACTTTCGCGGTGGGTGTGCTCGGGCGCTTTGGCCCCATTTCGAAACTGCTACGGGAAATTTGGCGCCAATTGCGCGCAAGGCTGACCACAGGGGGTCTCGCCTCCCCAGGGGTCGAGGCCACTGCCCTTTGCCATCGGAAGGGCCCGACACCTGGGGATAATAACACCTAACCGCACATGCACAGGCCGTGGCCTGCATCACAAAATCCGCCGATCGGGCGTGTGAATTACAAGAAGCCTCAGCAAGAGATTCAGCCCGGAGCCTGAGCGAGAGTCTCAACTCTGCTGGGGGCGGGGGGTCGCCGGGGTGACTCTGCCGGAGAATGAAGGGAGGGGGGGCGGTCCGCCAACTGGCGTTTTCTCAATGAATTGCGCATCCCCAAAATTTAAGTCCGATGTTGGGTGCGCTTGGCCCAAGACGTCTAAGAACGGATATGCAGTGCGTTTTTCCTCTGCGCTACTGCTGCTATATACTTGCTGCATACCTATAGTATCACTCTGGTCCTCCTGGTTTATAAGAACCATAACTGAATTTCTCAGACGGAAACCCAAAAAACAAAACAAGGCGGAGCCACCGACCACGGTCCCGAAGGGACACGCCAGGCATTTCTAAACCTAGGGTGCCTGAAGTGGTCGCCGTTGAGCTTCCCGACGAAGCCCTAGGCCATGAAGCCCTCGGGATCTTTGTATTCTGTCTCCTGATGAGATAATCTCGAACTCCACATCGGATATCATGAACTGTACCAGGTAGCTTGATTTCTTCTCCTATCGGATATCGCAAGATCTACCCAGTGTTTTGCCATCTTCTCTCATCGGATATCATGCGCTGCACCAGGTGTTTTGACTTCTTCTATTATCGGAGATCGTAGAACTTCACCAGGTATAGTGATCAATCCATCGTCGATAATACTGCATATACCTATCGCGATTCTGCCCACGATGGTTTTATCTGGATGAGGTCGTTGTCCGTTATTGTGACTGCGGGAGCGTCGATCGCAGCAACCAAACACTCGATGACCTTGGTCTCCACGCGCCAATAACCATAGTTTATCAAGTTGCACAGGATCTCTGAAGGCATACTCTTGGCAAGTCCATCTGCAACCATAACTGACGTGGGACACCAGAAGAAACGTCGAATCTATCCTCGCAGTCTGTCTTCCCGAACTGATAGTACATAGATCCGCTGGTGTCGACCCCGGGGAACGCCCTGTAATCCAAAGCTGAGTTCAGAGAAATCTCGGAAAACTGTCCAATGATCTATGGGAATTGCAAACTCTGCATTGTCCTGCTTGCTGACCACCTCTGTCACACTGCTCGGGCTGTCCAAAGATGGCTGAATGCCGGGTGCTAACATTCCCGCGAGCCGCATAGCGATCGCCAGAGCCAATGCCCGGCCAACTGCCCCTGCCAATTTCTCCGCCCGCGGCGTGCCTCCTGAAACTCGCTTTGCTTCGCGAGACAGCGAAGCAATCATATCAACAAGCTTGCCGAGCTGGCCCTCTGAATCTCGCACCTATTGATACTGAATCGATGTAGCGGGTACAACCGACATCTTCTAGTCCGAGCCGAGTAGGATCAAGACTGCCTCCGGGGCATATGAACTGCCTGACGTAGCCCCACTGGAATCTGTCACTGCGTCTATCACACGCGGGGGTGTGAGACATGGGAAATGCATCCCAACTCCATCTGCGCATCTCCTCACTCGAGCCAGCCACGCAATTGCCATCTTGATGTGCGCGATTGTTCCCGACTGCGCGTTCTGCCGAATAGTCACCGCATTTGCAAAAGCGTCCAATTTCGTCTGCCATAGCCATGGCAGTCCTCCAAAGAGTCCTCTGCATGCTGCCAGCTCTTGTCGTGTCAAAGGTGGGTTGCGCTGCTGTGATCGCGCCCTGTTGGGCTGGGCTGGTTGTAGCCCCGTGACTGTTTCATGCCACAGTCGGTCTTCTCGCGCTTTGCTCCAACATGCATCATGGGCGGCTGCCGTCGCGCAGCGCCTCCAAAAAATGCAATGAACTTTCCAAAAGGGTTCATTTAGCCATGGAACCGTACTTGCGTTGTTGTTGTCGCCCGCATACGAAGTAACTATAGCCGCGAGCTCGCCTGGCCCTGCCATCCAAAAATACAACATTCATCGAACGCCGAGTGTCTGCCGCCAAGCGCATCCGTCATGAACATATGCATGACCACTTCAAAACCAACGGGCAAAGCAAGCCCCTCGGCGGGCACGGCTGCGAGAATCTGCTCGCGACCACGGGGCCCCAGCGCTCGTGGCGCGCGGCGCCCCGCACGGCACTCGCTCGCGCGCCCACCAGTCTGGAATTGGTCTCCTCTAGCACACGGCCCCCGCTTACGCAGCCGAGCGCGCGCCGACATGGGCTCGTCACTGTCGCTATTTGCCAGCGCAGGCGCCTGCGCCTTCCTGATGACCCTGAAGGCTGGGGCACAATAATTAAATGGCATTCGTCATGAGCTGTCCCTGGCTGTCTCTCTACAAGCGAGCCTGCGCTGCAAATCATCTGGGTCTGGACGCCCTCGATCATCTTGGCCTCGCCAAAGCCTTTGCAGACTCGGGCGGGGCGCAGGATCAGGCAACATCGCATGGGTAAAACCGTGTCGAATCGAAGTGCGCATCGGGTCGGGCAGCACCAATACGGAGTCGAAATTGGATCGGGCCGGCTGATGCGCAGCAACGCCATGCGAACGTCAAGCCACAGCGGATCGTCGGAATATAGAAATCGATTCGGGTCTCGACCAGCCGCTAACCCGAATCACTGCCATCACAAGCCGCCCTTCCTACCACGCAACCAGTTGTAACACCCACTTGCGGTTCCGGCTACACGAGCTGTATCAGAATGACCATGGAGCTGCAAACAGGACGAGGGGCCGACATGCACCAAGGCATCAGGAAGCCAGTCGCGGGACGTTCAGACCAGAATGTCTGTCTCGCCTGGGCGCAACGCACAGTGCTCGGCAAGCCACCCTGAAGGAAACTGGGTTACCAATACATTGCTGAATTGGGGTCGGCGGCGGAGGTGGCAGCCTTTAAACATAAGAATCGAACCGGATCGGGCCAGCCAGAGCCGATGTCGAATCGGATCGATCGGATCGGCATGGGCCCAGGCGGGGAGGAAGAATGCCTCTCAGAGTCACTGAAAGTCACAAGAGGTGTCCAAACGTCGCTGGAAGTCTCCAAAAGAGACTGGAGGTCCCTGGGGGCCTCGCGCTCGCCCGTCATCATACCGACCCTGGACGGCAGAACATCGAGCCAGCATGAGCCCTCGAGCGACGATCAGGAATTCATTCGAACTTCGCCTGAACAGCCCAGTCGAGCATCTTGGGCAGATTTTTCGTGTCGTCGACACAACGGTACGTCCGCATTGCTGTCCAACCTTTGCACTGCTTTCTTCCGCTGTCGGTAGGGCGACCACACGGGCCAGCTCGGAGGGTCGCTGCAATCGCCTTTGGCAAAGCCCGCGGCTGATGATGATGGCCACTAGCTCTCGGTCCACCACTCGCTGCCGCTGACCCCGGCGTCGGAGTTCCACCAACTTGTCGTCGTTGGCATGCCACTGCTTGTCATCGTCGGCACGCTACTTATCCCCAGGTCGAGCTCCGTAGTCGTCGCTGAACGCTGGCCAGGCTGAGCTTCCTCAGAGTTCGGCGGTCCTGGATGCTGCGCATCGCGTCGCGGAGGCCCGCGAATCGCGCTCCCTCTGCCAAGTGTCGCCGCTGTTCCAGGGTTCCGTCTCGGGTGCTTTCTGGTGCTGCTGGTGCTTCTGCCGCTGCTCTTGGGGCTCGGCTACAGGCGCCCGCGCCTGGCATGTGGCTTCCCTCACCGCAGCTTGCACAGGCTCCCTCATTTGCGCCGGCATGGCTCAATCGTCACTCCTCTTGCGGCGCCTGCTGCAGTCGCTGGAGGAAGATGTTCCGTCGCTCCCGCAGCCGCTGGAGACGGATGCGCGACTGCAAAACTCTAGGTATTGCTATCCTCTTCGTCGTCGCCCTCTGGCGAGATGCCTTTGACCCTGCGCCACTCGGCACTGGGAGCCAGCGGTCGTCAGAAAGACCTCTCAAGCGCCCGGGCCCAGCCGCGCCGCCATAGCGCGCGCTGGGCGTGCACCTTTCGCCCCAGGCCCACACCACTCCGCAACCAACTGTGGCAAGAAGGTCAGCATACGTGTTGGACTTGAACCACTTTCTCACGGCAACACAATACGAACCGGTAGCTGGAGACATCTGCTCAGAACCTCTATAGGCCTCCCAGATGAACTCGGAGCAATGGGGTCGCAGGATCCCGCCACATCGCCGATGCATAGTCGATGCATCGTCGAGGCATCGACGACGTCGGCGATGCATCGACGACGTCGGGGAAAATCGGGTTCCACATCGAGCCGCATCGCCACGGGATCCTCCGACCCCATCCTACGTCGACCCCCTCTGGGAGGGAAGCCCAGAGCCTCTCAGGAGTGGGAAACACGTGCTAAACCTGATCACAACATCGGGCCAGCTTCCACAGCAGGAGGGGAGGATCGGATCGGGTCGGCATTCCACGGAAGAAAGGTGCACGACCTTGACAGCCGGGGTTGGGCAGAGCTATATGTTGCCCCGAAGCCCAAGCGCCTGCAATGCGGGCTCGTTTTACCTACCAAAGCATGAATCCAGGGGCTCTGGAAAAAAGAAAAATGAGGGGACCGAGAACGCCTTTGACTGATTGGACCTCCCTCCCTTGAGCGGCAACGATAGGGGGGACTGGCAGATGGGGGAGGGGACATCGACCTGAACTCAGCGATACATCGCTGATAGATCGGCGATGGGCACCCGGTAGCGAATCCTTGGCAGATTGAGGCTATCGGGCCCCTATCGGCGATAGATGGGCGATTGGGAGTCGATGCATCCCCCTCTGAGTCTTCCCCCCCTCTCGATTTCTCTGCCGGGGGGGGGGGGGGGCGAGCCTTGGCTCCCCGCCGGGCGGGCAGGGCGAGTAGCCGTGGCAGGGCCTCTCCCGCGGGCGCGGCCCGCGCAGACAGTGCCGCCCTGGCCCCCTCCCCATCTGCTCCCTCTCCTCCCTCTCCTCCCTCCCCTCCCCGCCCTTTCCTCCCTCCCTCCCTGCCTCCCCCCTGTCCCCTCCCTCCTCCCTCCTCCTCCTTCTCCTGCTCCTCCTCCTCCTGCTGCTCCTCCTCCCTCCCTCCCTCCCTCTCTCCCTCCCTCCCTCTTTGCTGCCGTCCCCCTCCTCCTCCTCCTCCTCCTCTTTTTTTTCTTCTTCTTCTTCTTCTTCTTCTTCTTATTATTATTATTATTATTCTTCTTCTTATTCTTCTTCTTCTTATTATTATTATTATTCTTATTCTTATTATTCATCTTCATATTCTTCTTCTTTTCTTCCTCCTCCTCCTCCTCCTCCTCCTCCTCCTCCTCCTGCTCCTCCTCCTCTTCCTCCTCCTCTCCTCCTCCTCCTCCTCCTCCTCCTCCTCTTCCTCCTCCTCTTCCTCCTCCTCCTTCATCCTCTCTCATCCCGCCCCATTTCTCCTCCTGCTACCCTTCCTACTCCGTTTCACGATCCTCATCCTCATCCTATGGTGCCGTAGCCCCATGGTACATCAGTCCAGCTCCCGAGGGCCACACTACGCGCTGGAAAAAGGGCACGGCAGCCCGCCAGGGATGGAAACAGAGTCCTGGCAGGCGGGGTCGGCGGGGCTGACCAACACCTCCCAAAACGCTCTCTGCCGGAAATGACCCCCCCGTCCGAAATGCGCTACCGATTGGTTAGAAAATGTGCTCCTGGTTCTTGATGTAGGACACTCAGTGATCAGATGCTTGGAACGCGAGAATCCGAAGGCCCCGCAGCCCCCGCAACACACGATGCCTCCAAGGCCAATCCACAGCTGGGGAGAGCGGTGGGCAAGCCTTACGAGCTCAGGAACTCCGCTGCTGGGCACCATGCGCAGTCCCGTCCGAAACGCTTTCTTCTCTCACTGGCTGCATAACACAACCGATTACTGGACTCACCGAACCCACGGGCACCATGACCATTGGGATTGGCAACCAGTTGGAGACCCACGAGTTCGGGCCCCTTGGGGGCCTTCACCTTGGCAACGTCAGGGTAAATCTTCCGAGAGGGCAAACAACACCGAATACTGCATGTGTCCTGCCAGCCTGACCTGCTCACGGAGACAAACATAACAACTGCGGACCTAGAAGGTGCAGGGGTGGCAACGGGCGCCCAAATCCGCCTACCTGTCTGCTTCCTTGTTACCGTTCCAGGCCCAGACGGGGAACCTGACCGGACAAGAACGGGAAGCGTCCTTTTTGTGCCCCGCACTCATGACTTGTTATACGTTCTTCGCATGCACTGCGCAATCATGTCGTGGCGCGCGTGCGATTGCGCGTGTGCATGTTCGCCCGTACGTGGTGGTCTGCGAAACTGCTGTGTTGCGCCGTGCTGCTCTGCCGTGCTCCTGTGTATTCTGTGTATTCCGCCTTGTTCCTGCACGTTCTGCTGTGCTCCTACGTGTCCTGCCGTGCTACAATGTATCCTGTGCTCTGCCAAATTCTGCCGTGCTCCTGCGCGTTAGGCCGTGGTCCCGTGTGTTCTGCCGTGCTCCTGTGTTCAGGCGTGTTCCTGTGCTCTCGCGCGTTAAAGTTAAAGTCAAAGACGGGGCCTTCAAGGCGCAGGGAGGGAAGGAAAAGGGACCGAGGGGCCTCCAGGGGCACCGAGCGCCGCCCGAGACACGCCCTCCCGAGAGGGGCCGCCTAGGGCCGCCCCCATCCCCCCCGCGGGGACCGCACTGGGCCTCCACCGCGGCCGCGCCACAAGGCGAGAACAGATCTACATACAGAATGCAACCGCCTGCCTCGCTCACTACTCTTGGGCCGCGTCGTGCAACACGCACGGACCAAGAGACCATCGAGGAGCCGCGCACGCTCCTCGGCACCTGGGCAACTTGCACTGCCGAGGTGGACGCCGAGGGCGCGGGCCTCGGCCCAGTCCAGGAGCGACTCAACTCCCGACTTCGGCCCCTGGGCCGCACGCGCCACCACCGCCGCCGAGCAGTCGCCCAGGAATGAAACGAACCCGCACTCCGAGCCCGAGTGGCCCCTCAGCCTCTGCTGCTTCGGGGCGAGCTGGTCCGTCTCCAGCGCGTCCTCGCCGCGCAGCGCCGCCCCCTGCACCGAGACGGGGGCGGCGGCAGCGGTCGGCGGCGCCAGCGCCTGCTCCTCGAACGTCTCGCCCTTTAGCGTGAAGAGCGGTTCGATGAACGCGTCCTCGCCGAGCACCTGGTCGACGCCCACGTCGTCGCTGATGACGTCCAGCACCGACTCGCCCTTCTGCGCGCAGAGCGGCTCGATGGACGCGTACTCGCCGAGCCCCTGGTCCATGCCCGCGTCGTTGCTGATGACGTCCAGCACCGTCTCGCCCTTCTGCGCGCAGAGCGCCTCGATGAACGCGCTCTCGCCGAGCACCTGGTCGACGCCCACGTCGTTGCTGATGACGTCCAGCCCCTGCTCCTCGAACTCCTCGCCCTTCTGCGTGCGGAGCGGCTCGAAGAGCGCATTCTCGCGGAGCACCTGGTCGACGCCAACCTTGACGCGGATGACGTCCAGCACCTGCTCCTCGGACGTCTCGCCCTTTAGCGTGAAGAGCGGCTCGATGAACGCGTTCTCGCCGAGCACCTGGTCGACGTCCGCGTCGTTGCTAATGACGTCCATCGACTGCTCCTCGAGCGTCTCGCCCTCCTGCGTGAAGAGCGGCTCGATAAACGCATTATCGCCGAGCACCTGGTCGACGCCCACGTCGTCGCCGGTGACGTCCAGCACCTGCTCCTCGAACGTCTCGCCCTTCTGCGTGCAGAGCGCCTCGAAGAACACAATATTGCCGAGCGCCTGGTCGACGGTCTTCTTCACCTCGTCGATGCCCTTCTCACTGGCCACCTGGGTCACATCGAGCGCTGCCAACAGGGCGGACTCCCGCGCCCTGGCTGCCACCTCGCCTACGCAGCTGGGGGCAAAGGCGGGCGCCTCAGCACGCAGCAACGCGCTGTGGCCCGCGACGACGCACTCAAAGGCCTGCGCTTGCAACAGCAGGCCGTCAGGCAACTGCGGGGCGCCTCCTGCAGCCTCCGGGGGGGGCGCGTGCCGGGCGCGGCTGCCGAAGTGCACCGCGTCCTCAATCTCCAGAAGCTCGTCGCGTGGCAACTGGAGGAGCCTGGCCGTTGCCAACGCCTCTCCCATGCTGGGGCAATGCACCCCCAGCCGATCACAGAATCGCAAGTGTGCACGGAGCGAGGCTCAGAGCGCCTTGCCGCGCGACGCCAGCGCGGCGGCGCGAGACGCTCCGAGCTCCTGTCGAACTTCTCGGCGGCGTCGCCGCGCGAGCGTCCGCGCGCTCGCCGCCGCCCATGTCTTGCCGCCCGCGCCAAGCGCGGCGGCCATGGCCGCTGGCGCGCCGCGCCGCGGCGTCCGCGGCGCGCACGAGGGCCTCCCGCAGCACGGCTCGCTTGAGCCAAAATGGCTACGGATTGCTCTTGCGTGTTCTGCCGTGCTCCTGCGTGTTTTGCCGTGTTCCTGCATGGTCTGCCGTGCTTCTGCTAGTTCCTGTGTTCTGCCATGGTCCTGCGTGATCTGCCGTGCTCCTGTATTATGCCGTGCTCCTGCGTGCTCTGCAATGCCCCTGTGTGTTCTGCCGTGTTCCTGCGCGTTCTGCCGTGCTCATGTGTGTTCTGCCATGCTCCTGTGTGTTCTGTGTGT